AACATCTGAAATAGTTATTGTCACTGTAACGAATTGCAACTATTTCCGGATAACGTAAAAATGCTGTTTCGATCTGCAAAAGCACGACTATGAACATAATATCATGTAGTTAATATCTTCAATAGAACTACTTCAATTCTTCTTTATAATAATGTGAGTTAAGCAAGCAAGCAACCCACTTGCTTACTTTAAACAATTATGATGGCGATATCACTAAGTAAGAATATACTGCGCATCCATTTTCTATATTATAGTTTGATATAAAAAAATTGCTCACTGCGGTGATTTCAGTAGCTAATAACTGAAGAACTTTTTGCTCCCAACGGACTCTCAAGGTATAAAAGGAAAATATGTAATTCTTTTAACTAATCGTTCAATCATGAAATATTTAAAAGAAAATTAAATACTTCTATTTGAGCATTAACTCTTACCATATTAATTTTTTTAAGATCATTCCAGTACTTACCTAAATCACATAACTTTAAAGTTTCTGGAGTCTGTCTCATACTAGCATATATCATATTTGAAGGTTTTAAATCTCTATGCACAACCCCATGTTCATGCAAGTAAGCCACAGCGGAAACCACAGTACGCAACACAGCACTCGCCTCACTCTCACACATTTGTCCCACAGCCAAAATCCGATCCAAGAGTTCACCTCCCTTCAACAGTTCCATAACCAAATAAGCTGACGTTGTGTCCTCGTACACAGAGAACAAAGTCACAATATTCGGATGATTGCCATAGCGTAACAATATCTCAACTTCTTCCCAACAATCCGCCGAAGCGGAGCATGCGACTACTGCTGCTTTTTCAATAATTTTCACAGCAAAATGCTTCTTCGTTGAACGATTCTCACATAAACGGCAAACGGAAAACGTGCCACGCCCCAGTTCCTGCAGTAGATTGTAATCTGCATGAAAGCTACCAGGCAACACACCTGGTAAACTGCGTGGCGTATGCGCTATAGGTAATATAGGCGAGTGGGCACTTGAATTATTTGGTGACAATGTTTGATCCAGCAAAACTGGTGCCACAAAACTGAAACCACGAAATATTTCATGTGCCGATGCAGATATTGGGCCACCAGGTGAATCACGTGGCGATTTAGAAGTGTACTCAACATCGAAATAAAATGCATCGTCCCTCGAAACTGCTGGTATGAATGGCGGCCGCACATCCTTACGTTCCAAACCCAACCAATCAATTGTATCAAAAAAACAATGTGCCTTTATATCCAAGATACCCTGTTCACCAGCACCAAGCCGATTCTGTGGATTGCGTTTAAAAAGTGCACGCAATAATGATTGTGCTTCTGGTGACAGATTTTCGGGCATACCCAACTTGGAGCGTAATATCTGATTCATTGTTTCTTGCCTGGTCTGGCCATGAAACGGTAGGTTACCTGTTAACATTTCATACATAACTACGCCAAAAGACCACCAATCTGCAGCAAAGTCATGTCCTTTACGATTAACTATTTCAGGTGCCATATACTCTACTGTCCCACAAAAACTATACGTTTTGGAACCGTCGAGTGGTTGCTTAGAAAGTCCAAAATCTGTTAACGCTATGTGACCATGCTCATCTAGTAGTATATTTTCAGGTTTCAAATCTCTGTATATAATTCCCAAGGTATGTAGATGATTCAGGGCGAGCGCGAGTTCAGCTAAATAGAATTTGACGTCTTCCTCGGTGAACATAACTTCCTTAGAGAGACGTGTGAATAGATCGCCTCCACGTAGGAAATCTAATATCAGATACAATTTGCCAGGAGTTTGAAAGGCATAATGTAACTTTACTATGAAAGCGTGACCTACATCCGCTAAAATTTTACGCTCGTTTGTGCTACGTACTCGGTCCTTGACCTTCAAGGTTGCTTTTTTCAGAACTTTCATGGCGTACAATGTGCCCGCATCTTTACCAACAATTTTGCGCACAAGGAAAACTTTGCCAAAACTACCTTCACCGAGTACACGTAACAATTCAAACTGTGAAGGGTCGGCCTTGTCGTGACCTTCCTTAACGACTTCTCGCAACTCAAACTCATTTTCTCTTAAATTTGCATCGCCAACAGCACATGTATAACCTTCTGAATCACTTAACTCCATTAGTTCTGAGGAGTCACCTGGTGTTGGCGATATGTGATGCTGCTCTAGCGCTGCCTGCAGTGCTGTTTGCTGCACTTGCTGCAGTTTTTGTTGTTGGTGATGCTGTTGCTGTCTGCGCTGCGATGACGTCACCGTCGTAACGCCACCCTCTTCATCAGTGGGCGTATGTTCCATTGGAGTAACAGCCAAGCTGCTACATCCAGACGAAGTAATCTGCATACGCTGCGTGCCATTATTATTGTGGGCGCTATTGTTACTGGTTACACCCAGCTGCCGTAAGTCTTTATTCAAATCAGCCAGTGGCATTGCACTGGTCGCTGCTCTAGTAGCGTTTTTAAACGTTTTTGCTGTCTTATTAAGATATGAACAAGAGAAATTTAGAAAATTTCACTCAAATTTTTGGTAATTGGCGTTCACGGAAGTCGCCTATTGGAATTGGAAATTTTGTTTATTTATTGCACAATTTTTTAACAAAGCAACACAATTCTTACATTTTATTGTTATATTATTTACATATCACTGTTAACGCGCAAAACTATTATAAAATTTTATATATTTTTCACATATTTCATGTTTTTCATCAAATTTTTACTCATTTTCTATGCGTACGCGTATGTTAATCAGCAAAAAAAACAGAATGAAAATGACAGTGACAGATAAAAACAAAAACAAGTGAGGCGAATTGAATTCGCCACGACCAAGGTGGCCAGCATTACCAATCAAAAGTAATTAATATAAACTTAAAAAATGCTGCATGCCTTGTTTAAGTTTGTAATTAATTGGATTTTGGTGGGTAAATGGATGAAATATAAAATTTTTTATTACTTTTACTTTAAATGGTGTGCTCATAAAGCTTATATAAGCTCTGCTATTGCTTAGTTTAATGAATATTTCTACAGTCATGGCTAAAAATGTTATACTTAAAAAATACAGTAAACAAGATATATATATACATATATATGGTTTATTTTGAAATCTTTCACAAAATCACGAAACATGCTCAAACATATAAAAAGTACGTTTATACTAACACAATTAACTGTACAAATATGTAGAAATAATGTACATTTTCATGAAAAATATACAAAATTCTTACTAAGATGTATTGATAAAATTTAACATAATATTAGAATCTTAAAAGTAAATTAATTTTTTTTGTGAAATAAGCAAATAGAAAATAAGCAATTATATTGATCAGTTTAAATAATAATTTACTGATTATTTGTATGCAATAATGGCTATAACGGTTAATAATTTCAATTATAAAGAAAAAAGCTGGACATTCTCAATTACTTTAAAACCCTTTTGATTTCAGTATGATTTGTAAACATAGACAGAAAGTACAATATCTTATATATTTTGTCCCAACTCGAAAAATGGAAAGCCTATACCTTTGAAGGGAGTAGGAAATTTGTTTAAGATTTTCACATAATATAATATTAATTACATCTGACATTGGATGAAAAAATAAAACTTCCAAATAATACAAAACATGGAGGATATTAGATTACCATTAGATATCTCAAATTTAAGAAGAGGCCACCATTGATCTCTAGGTCGTAGTGTTAAATTTAAAAGATCTATTGTGCCGCTTAGTCAGATTAAAGTGTTTCTCCAAGTCCGATTATTTAGTGAAAGACAATATAGAGCCTAACTTTCCTAGTCTAGGACTCTTTTAACCATGAAATCTCCTCCTAGGTGTTTCTTCCGCTTGTGCTTGTGCAAGCACATGGTATGCAGTGCTTGATAATACAGATGTGTCAATAGATAATAGATGGTTACCACAAAAGCGATTTTTTCCATTAATAAGCGATGTGTTATTATATACAAAATGAAAATAAAATGAATATAAGACCCAATTTCATAAGTGAGGTTATGTAAAGTAATAAAAAAAATTCCTACCTTCTCTTAAATTCAAAAGAAGATGTGAAAATAAAGCGATTAAAAAATGATTATAGATTTGTAGCGACACTACCAGACTCTCTACAAACAAAGAGTTAACTCTATACAAAATTTCTACTTTGAAGAGCCAGCAGAGTTGGACACAAAGATTATTTCTTTAGTAAGCCATCCCTCTACTCAATTGATGATATGGTGAAGTAAATACTTCAGTGGAAATACTAAATACTTCACTACGGGTCTCGGACTTAACACATTCTATGTTTGGAATTGTCTTAATAATAATAATGATTTATTCTTCTACAAAAAACTACAAAGGTACTGGCACTTCCCAAATTACTTCAAGTATTCAGAAGAATTGTGTCCTACATAAAGTTATTTATAAAACTTATACATAGAAACATTGATATTTAATAAAAATTACAAATAAAAATTAATTAAATATTAAAAATTTTTTTTTTAAAACAGACGCCATTGGTTTCCATTATGCAATAATCTTAACGCTGTACTTACCTTGAACAGATTTGCAGGGCGCAGCGGTAAACCGAAACAATGCTAACTACGAAGTGCAAAAAGAGCGTAAAAATCAGTCCACACGCAGCGGAGACTTCACTGTTGGAATTCAAAAGTTCGAACTATAGAAAATATATTCATTTATTATCACACAAATTGTATAAATAACCGAAGACTTACCTCCTCTTCCATACGATTTAAGTCTCTTGAAAGACCAACACCAGAAATGGCCAGCGCCAGGGTGCTTGTCGCTATACAAACCAAACTCAATGCCAGAAATGCAGTTTGCGTTTTACGCATGCTGACCACGCCCAATGAACCAGTAACCGCAGCTATCAAGCCAGTCCAAATGCCACAACCGGCTGTTGATAGAGCCGCCTCACGCACTATTAGTAGTGAACCCAATGCCACAAGCGAAATGGCCAGTACCAGTTGCAAGCTGCCCAGCACAATTTGCAGCGGAAATGCGGAACAGCAGGCGCTGCTGGGTAATGATTTGCGTGAACGCTTCGATTTGCTGCTGGTCAGCGATGAAGTGCTGCCATCGCCGTCTTTGATTTTGATAAGTTCCGGGGGGAAGCGCTGCTTTTTGCTAATGCGCGAATCGATTGTGTTGGCGCGTGAGGCGACTGCCTCTTGCAGCTGCTTCTGAAACTCTTCATGCGTAATCAACTTTGGTTTCTTCAGATCGTCAACATGTTTAGCATCAGCGGCAACTGTTGCAACCAATGTTGCTGCCGTCAGTTTCAATGGCGGCTTCTGATCATAAACTGGACTCGAGTATATATGATTTTGTGCATCAAAATGTTGCTGCTGTGCCGGCTGTGGCTTGTGTTGCACTTCATCTTCGCTGCTGCTCTGCTGTTGCAGCATCGAGATCTGTGAGTTCGTAAGGCTGTCATGCTGATGCTGTGCATTTGTTGTATTTGTGCTCTGTTCGATTTTCTTCTGCAACATTTCTTCACGATTCAGACTTCGATCGACGATCGTATCCAAGCTGCCCGTGGTGGAATCATGTGAATCGATGGTGCGCGCTGGTGATGCTGACTGTCTGTTTATGTTGCTATTGCTTTCATTACTATTACTACTGTTTTTGTTGTTGTTATTATTGTTGCTGTTGCTGTTGTTGTTGTTATCTGTCATTTTTAATTTTTTTTTTCTGGTTGGATTTCAGCGCTGCCTGAAGTTGTTAACAACTTTAATGGTGGCTCATTTAAGTTTATCGTTTTCCGGTTGATATTTGCTTCCGTTATTTGTTGGCTGCAATTAAAATTGTGGGCAGATATGTTGAAACACGAATTGCATTAATAAATTGAATATTAAACTTTAATCTTTACTGTTTTATGTCTAAATTTAATTTTCTTTTCAATCGTAAAAAGCAAATACCATAGTTTGCGAGACTGGCTTTGGAATTCATGGTTTATTTCCTAATCATTTTTTTTTTTAAATAGCAAATTTACGAACATTGCAATAAAAAAGAAAATCCTATTTAAGTATTGATATTTATTTCTTAATATAATTGCAAATAAATCTCGTTAATTAGTAACCGAAGTAGTTGAGTAACAAACTGGCTTGAAATTTATTGCTGGTTCGTTTAGAAATCCGCAGGCCAGTTTTTTGCTTATGCAAGCAATTAAGCGTTGAGATATAAAAAGTGGAACTAAATTACCATTAGCACTTAATGTCCAAAACCACAAGTCAACACAAGGGACTCTATTGCATTAGATCAAAAGAAAATATTATGGAATTAGCGTCGTTTTTGCAGCACCGAAATTTTGGATTACAGGAAATTTTTCCCGAATTTTTCCTTATAAATAAATATTTTAATTTTGAAGAATTAATGCGATATAAAAGTTTTAAATAATAGGTCGGATATGGACCAATAGAATACTTATTTAGGTCGTGTGCGAGTTCAAGTAAATTGAGGTAAATTAACACCTAATTTACCTAATTTTTAACTATATTAGCCCACTCAAAATTCTGGTAAATACCAACATTTACCGCCATAATTTACTATTTCCCTATAATCCATTATTTCCCAATAATTTACTCGAACTCGCACACAGCCTTAAACAGATACTATGAGATTTAAGATACCCTCTATTTCTCTTTATCCTTAATAGACTTTTTTCGTATCTTTTTTTCTAATAAATTCCTTAAGTGTAAAGAATAAGTACAGAAGTTTCAAAACACAGATAGGATATAAATCGGTTGTAAGTCACTGCAAGATTTCCAATAGCTTCCTTTATATAATTAACAGATTTTCCAATTTTTTTAAATAAATATCTTTGACCTTCATTCGAAAGGCGGAATGTCTTTTGTTCAGTTAGGGTCTGTTGTAGCATAAAAGATCAATCATGATTGCGGTGCTCTGCTCAAATGGGAGCTAATACCCTGTTCTTTCTTACTTCTTACTTACTTAAATAAATATCTTAAATTTCAAAAATTAGTGCGTTAAATAAGTTTTATATTATAGGATGTAAATCAGTTCAAATAGCTGCTACAAGAGTTATGAAGGATTCCCCTATTTCTCTTTCTCTTATTTACAGATTATTTCCTAATTTTTTTAAAAATACCTTAAAATATGTACCAGTAAAATAACTGTTCAAATAGCTGCTGCAAGGTATAAGGTTTCGCCAAGTCCATTTAAATTCAGCAAATTTTTTTTCTATTGTACAGAAGTTTTACAGAAGTACAGAAGTTTTAGGGCACAGATAAGATATATAGCGAACACTATTAAGATTAAGATCACTATTAAGATTTTAACAATTCCTATTGAATGATCCGAATATTTCCTTAAACAACTATTGCAAAAGTTATGGTTTCCCCTACTTCTCTTTACCATTACCTAATTTATTTTTTTGTTATATTTAAGAAACCAAAAATGTATAATTTGTAATTAGCCATACCAGTACTTTATATCCATAATTCGTACACTTTATTGGTATTTATTTTTTATCTGATCGTTAAGTTTTATTGTACTGTATTCCAGTTTTTATAATTTTTTTTAATTTTTAAATAATCTGAAATAATATACACTAATTCCGTAAGAGTTTATTTAATTTCAGTTATGTCAATTATAATAACAAAGAGATCTTTATCTAGTGCCTTCAAGTAATTATGAGATCACTAACAATATTTGTTGGTATTTTGAACGTTTAAATAACATTAAATGACGGTACGATCAGTCCTAATAGCCTAACAATAGCTATATTTATTAAATGTATGCGTAATATAATAAGTAACGCCTGATATAAACGATTTAAGTTGCACATGTAAAAGGCGAAACCATCTTCAGTAATCCACTACAACATGATGAACTAATTGAACAAAAAACAAAGGTAAATGTATATATCACAATCTTATATTAAAATAATTTGCTGAACAATTTCATTTCTGGTATGCGAACTTTTTATAAAAACGGTTGTTTAAAGCTAATATCAAAACCTTGTATTAAAAGAATCAGATATATTAGGGGTATTCACTCTCTCTTGTAAACTCATTGCAAGGAGCACGAAATGCAAGAATGCTATACAAAAACTGCAAGACTGCGAGAACACCTCTGTTGCAGAATTGCATCATCAAAATGAATCAGCTGTTTTTGCAGCCGTATCAAATTGAGCAAAGAAAAATAAAAGTATAACAATGCCGCGAACAAGTGAAATACAAAAATGTATAGATTTTTTTATTGAAAATAGTGCTTTTAATATTCTGATTGAAGGTATTAACATGTTGTTAATGTAGTTTTCACTACTATATAGTTTCTATTTGTTAGATGATGCAAATTACTGGGAAGTAATGGAGCAATTAAATGAAGACCTTTTGTTTACTTTAGTAAACCATCACAGAAATCACCAACCCGTACCAAAATCTATTCAATGGAGATCTACCATTCTTCAAGAATTTGATGAAGGCCGTTTTTGTCAGATGCTTAGAGTAAATTGGAACGTATTTTCCTTAATAGTCTCACTAATAAACTATTAAGGATTGCTATTGTTTTATATCGTTTGGGTTCATCAGGCGAAAATGCGGCTATTCGTAAAGTCGCTACATTATTTGTTGTTAGAGATATATGTAATAATAATATAATATAAAAATAATTAGTATAATAAAAATATAACTAATTCTTAATTTATTATTGTTATTTGTTATATTTTTTTATCGAGGGGGGTAGTGGGGCTTTGCACAGCAGAACGCACGACTTTCGGTGCAGAGCTGGATGATGTGTTGTCTGCAGACGATTCAATAAAAAAAACTTCGTTGCCTAGCGCAGAACTAGTTGGTGGCTATGGCAATGTTTCCGTACAAAATTAGACATGCGTCCAAACACTTCATTCAATAGTTCAAAATGTGAACAAATTTTCGTAAGTTTCGCTGAAATTGATAAATAGATAAATTAATTCACAAATGTATATGTATATAATAGTATATTTGTGAAAACTTAATTAATGGTCACATCGATTTAAATTATTGAACGAAACGCATGTATATAGCATAGCCATAGATTAACATATCTCGAAATTTTACTAACAGTCAATTCAAATTTAAAAATGAGAAGCAACAAATGACAAAACAGCTGATTTCCGCCATTTCTGGTTTGTTGCAAGCAAATATACATAGGTTTTAGTATTGGAAGATTGCACGCAATTGCACGAAATTTTGTGCGTGTATTTTGTTGTTGTTATTTGCATTCTCGTACAATCTGTGCATTTCGTGCACCTTGCAATGAGTTTGCAAGAGAGAGTGAATACCCCTATTATGTATATATCACAATTTTATATTAAAATAATTTGCTGAACAGTTTGATTTCTGCTATGCGAACTTTTTATAAATACGGTTGTTTAAAGCTCATGAGAATTATTTTTCTTGATATTAGTATAAAATTAAGATATACTATAAAAATGTCAACGCAACTTTACATATGACACTTAAAATATTGTAATTTTACTCTATGTAAAATAAAAAATTGTATTATTGGACACTGATAACTTTTTATTTTTCCTTTAGGACAAAATCAAACAGAATATATTCACTATTCATAAATACGCAGAAAGAAATTTTTCGGTCGAAATCAGAAGAAAAATGTAAAATCCTTGTATCAACTGTACCTAATCTTAATGACTTCTTGCCAATTGAATATGGCAATCGTTTATTTAATACTTCATTTTATCAGTATTTATATTTAGACCTACTACTCTGATTAGATAAATTTTATTATATATATCATGTATTTTTTTTTTCTTTTACATGAATGATGGAACCTGGCACAAATTGTAACCACTAAGATACTAAGATATTCATAACTTAGATTTGGGGTACTTGGACCACAGAGGAAGCTCTGTCGACACTTAAATTAACTAATCATCAATATATCAATATTCACTGCATCATATAATTTTTTACCATTAATTGAAGTTGAAAATATATATGTATAGATGTACCAATTCACACTAATTACATTGGTTCTCAGATAAGTTTATTTTTATTAATAACATTTATCATCCACCATAGTTAATATAACTATATAATAACTATAATTTATATCGTGATAGTTATAGCTGTACGAGTAGTTTAATATATATTTAATATTCCTTTAAAAGTAGCTCCAAAATCCATACCATACATTTATATAATCAATGTAAGAGTATCAATATATTAGAGTACTTAAATGGAGTCCAAAAATCCATGCTATATCTATTTTTAAGACCATCATTTTGTTAAGTTCAATAATACTCGGTTAAAAGGAGTCTCAAAACCCATACTATATTTATATTTATACTATATATATTTTCTATATATATTTATTATATATACTATATATATTTATTTTAAAAGGAGCTCCAAAATTTATACTATACATTTATATAATCAATGTAAGACTATCAATATATTGGAGCCGTTAAAGGGAGTCCAAAAATCAATGCTACATTGTGACCGAAAAGTTTTCGGGAAATTTTAAATAAAACGCAAAATTCTTAACCTTCATCAATATTTATTTTATCTCCTTCAAAAATGCTCCATTAAGAAAGCCGATACACAAAATGCCCCAGACGTTTCCAATCAGCAAAACATTTTTTATAGGCGCTTTCCGGTATGGCTTTGAGTTCCCTCTGCGAATTCTGTTTTACGTCTTCTATGGATTCAAAACGCGTTCCTCTGAGTGGTAATTTGAGGTTGGGAAACAGGAAAAAGTCACACGGTGCAAGATCAGGTGAATACGGTGGCTGTTCGATGGTATTTATTGAATGTTTGGCC